CAGCAGGAAAAACTGACCTTTCCTGTCACTTCTGTCTGCATCCCCTCAGCGTTTTCTCATGCGAGGGGTGATTAATGAATAGGGATGGTGGAGGATGTTGATTTAGCATGGTTTTTCACAGTGAGTGTGCCCTTTTTTCCTCCCTACAGCCATCCAAGATAGCAGCACTCTTGGTTGCATTTTGTGGACCTTGGTTTAGATTTTGCTGTCAGGAGTTTATGATCATAGAGAACACAGGGCTGAGCTATGCATGGAGCATGAGGTGTGACAATGTGCCAGGAAAACTGTTTTCAAGCTGACATTAGGCTTCCGAGTGTTGTTACATACTCTTGTCTTTGTAAGTCTCTGAACAGAGTTGCTTGTCAGCCAGGGCACCATGAAACCCCTTCCAGCCACCCCACTCTTTGAGCTTCACTTAGATGCAGAGGACATGCAAAGGAAATGGTAAGTCAGGGGATGAGGATATCTCTCCTCATCATGCTTTAGTTGCTTAAATAGTATTGAGCAGTGCATCTTCCAAATGTCCTTCAGAGAGAGGCAGTGTAAGGCTGTGAAGGTGTCTCTTCTTGTTTTCTTGCTGCTCCTGTATTGCCAGACCTGAGAGATTGTTGTAGTGAGTTCTCAAGACTAGAGAAATTACAACATGGGATAAAGCTGTACAGTCTCTCTGTATTTTTGCAGATGTGCAGGACCCGCATTCACATCTTGCTCTTTCCACTGCATGAGCTTTTTGCATTCTTCATGTAAAGCTCCTCCAGACAAATGATGAGAGACCATTTACTAAAAAATACATGTATTCAGGAGTCAGAGCACTGCAAAGCAAAGCTGTGTTCTTTGCCAGTGGTAACAGAAGCAAGGTGAGACATGAAGAAACAGCATTGATTGGGAATCTGTTCTGCAATCAGTCTTTGATATACAAAAGTGACTTGGTTTGGGCGAAGGAAGGATGACCGATACATCACTTTTCAAGCTTGTTATCTGCCTGCAGATAACAGGAGCCTGTCTTGCTTCTGGGTTGCAGGAGATCACTTTGTGAGCTTTCCCACATGAAGTGTAGTTTTTGGTAAGCAGAGGAGTACTAGAGGTGTGCTGTGTACTAGTCCTTTTTTTTTTTCATTGTTGTTCTGAAAAGAACCATTAGGCTTGTCAAAACTAATTAAGGAAACAAGTAGATGGCACTGGAAAGGAACTTCAAGCTAGAATGACATGTTTCAGGAGACTCCTGTCATTCCCTGGTGCACACTTAACAGGCATTATGAGAAGATCCACAGAGCTTGTGTATGCAAATGCACAATGGTAATGAGTATTCTGGATTTTGTTGAGATATACTTAGATTCTTCTAATTACAGTCCCTTTTCAAATGAATAGTACTGTGGTAGACTGATGTTTTTTATTACCTGGTCTGGGAGTCAGTTTGCCCAGTCGCTGTGGAGGGAGACACAGTGACCCTTCCATCTAGAGAGGAGGGACCCAGAAGGTGTCAGGGGAGCAGGTGAGGTTGCCTGGCATTGTGGTGTCAGGTCACAGCAAATGTCTCTGTGTGTAAGGCTGGTGTCTGGCTTCCAGAAGGACAGATGGCTGGAGAGTGCAGGCACAGGGGGAAGGTTGGATTTAAGTAGGAAACCTGTTGGGAAGGGCTGCAGGGCAGGTCCCTAAAGTGTTCTCAACCTTTACCTCAAAGTGCTGGAATTACTGCTCCTTTTGAGAAAATTGTGATGGATAGACATGATGGTAGGCATCTACCTCCGTCCCTATTGGCATGCCATAGGTGAGGGTCATGGTTCCTGAATGGCTGAAATTCCAGCAATTAGTGCTGCTCATTTGAAAAAGGCAGAAAACTTCTGTTATGGACTAGAAAGATGTGTGCCCTTTCTAAATATTGGGAAATAATGTTGCTGCACCCCATAATGTTTAATTTAAAGGAATTTCTGTTTGTCCTACTCTCACTTTTAACCGTGTCTAGATATTTGGAAGATTTGGCCCTGATAATTGCATGGTCACAGGAACTCAGGCCCGTTCTGGCATCCTTACTGATAACAGACATCACTTTCTCCCTCTTGGGATCACCCTGAAACTGATGGTAGCGATTAAGGAGCAGACAATTTCTCACTGGGAGTGGAATGATGAAAGCTCTGCCTGTGCTGCTTTGTTTTGTTGTGCTGCTGTTTTTTGGCGGCAATTCAGTGTGTTGTGAATGGACTCACTATTGATGTGGTGTTCTAGTTAACAAGCAGTGCCAGTTTCAGTTACCTACACAGTGGGTCATAATGTAGTTGTTTTGACATTTGCAGCACTGGCTGATCTTAGCTGAACTCTGGCACATTTGTATGTTTGTCATTGGTTCAGTTGCTATGTTTTTTTGTGAGATTCAGAAAATGTATCAGAGCATCTGTATTTTGTTTGTTCTTTCTCTCTCTTTTATTTTTTTTTCTATTTTTTGCTGTTGATGCCCCAAGGATGAAAGCAGCAAAAGATTGTGATAAAAATGTTTTCAGAACATTAGGGAATTCTCAATGTTGGCTAGCTCAGAGGGAATCTATTATTTACAATCTACTGTATCAAATTCAGCTCCCACCAAATTAGAAACTGATTTTTGTCATTGTCCCTTTTTAATCTAACCCTTTGGTTAACTCAGGAGAAGCAGCTCCATAAATCACGTGGACATCTATGGATTTTTTTTTTCCCCCTGCCAGCCATTTCTAGCACTAAATGTTCATCTCCCAGTGATTCTTATCAGCCAGGACACTAATAATAACATTTCTGTTCTGGGCTTGACTTTCCCTCTGCTAGGAGGAAGCATGTCTTTGTAATGTGCTTTGAAAAACATTTTTAGGGAGTAAATAACAGGGCACAGGAAGATTTGACTTATGTTGCATGGGTTTCAACTAGTGAGGTTAAGGAAACTTCATGATTATCAGGGACCATGGCATGGATCATGGGTGAATAATGAATTCTTTCTTGCCTTTTTTCAATCAGAAATTCACCATGCATATGTGTGTCATTGTTTTTCTTTTGAAGATGGGGAAACTGAGGTAAACAACAGGAAGACTGGCACACAAACCAGAGGCAAATCAGGAAACTTAGTCTTTCATGTCATTATTCAGCCAAATAAATCCTCCTTTAAATTTGCTTTCTGTAAGCATGAGGCTGCTGTGCCCTCATCTTCAGCATTAAAACAGAGCTCTGATTTTGCTGGGTCTTGGAATCAGCTCTCTGCCACCACAAGAATGATCATTGTAATCTTGGTCTTGCAGACAAGGGAAAGGCAGGATCTGTGCTTGGAAAGGTTGGTATAGGGCCCCTGAGAGTGGTCTGTGTAGAAACACAAAGGAGGTAGGTCAGTGGAAGGTAAAAACCTACATACCAGCTGCACAAGGTAGATTTGAACTGGTTTTGCTTCCCCTCACTATCTCTCTGTCTGATTGCAGCCTTTTAGCTAACTGGCTTTCTCTTTCTCTTTCTCTCTCTCTCCTCCCAGGTCAGTGGCTGGTTTGGATAAAGAACCTGACCTTGTGCACATGGAAGCCCGGACAGCTGATGGACGTGAGTGCCTGCAGCCAATGCTGAAAAGTGGGCTTTGAGCCAAAAATGGAGTGGGAATGAAAATTTACTTTACTCATTTTATCTCCCTATTTACATTTTAATTGATAGGAAAGATGTGGGTCATGGGGTTTGATGTGAGGTATATTCTTAGCCTTAGCCTGTTGGGGGAAAGTCACTGGCTGCAGGGCTTGTGTCAGTGGAGAGGGTGAGCACAAGCACAATCTGTTGGGCTAAGGAGCTGTCTATTCTGTTCCCTGTTTAGCTGTTTCAGTATCATGTAGTTTACAGGAATCATAAAGATCTTGCTACCAGTGCTGTGCCATGCAGCTTTGTGCATTCCTAGAGGTGCTCAAAACATCTGGGTTGTACCTGGGAATTTGAAAAATCTCTTGCAGTCAGACTTCTCTGGCCAGAATATCCCTATACTCATTTGCCTTATATTGAAAGTATTTTTCAGTTTTGCTTATAATGCATGAATAGGTATTCCATACCTAAACATCACAGGCCTTGAAAAAGTGCCTGATCTGAAGCAGGAAATAGAAAAAAATTCTTAACCCCTCACTGCAATGAATGTAGTGACATTTGCAGTAGGAAGCATTCCTATGTAGTTAACCTCCAGTAAAGACAATGGTATTAGAATTAAGTTGACTTATTCCCTCCAAAGTGTTTTAACTATTTCTCACAGGAACTACAGCATAGTAATGCATCTGATCCTGGAGTGGAAGGTTACTCCAGTGTGAGTAAATGAGAGCAGTGGGAGAAGTGTCCCTTTTCACTGCAGGGACAGTGTAGTAAAGCAGCACAGGACTGAGGTTTTACAGGATTTCTAGGAGGAAAAGACCTCATTTTTTGTTGGTTGCAAACTTTCCTCTGTTTCAGTCAAGTAGGCCAGATGCTGTGTGAACAAGCTCCTGTCTATCAAGGTGGCTTCTCTGAGGTTATGTATCTTCTAAAATCACTCATTGACCTCCCATTGCTATTTAGTGATGGCAGCTGAATAAATAACCAGGCAATAAAAAGCTCAGGGGTGGCAGCTGTTTGTTGAATGTGTGGAAAAAACAAAACAGGCCAGCAGGTGGGTGGACAAGGTAGGGAGTTATCCTCAGTGCCTTTGCTGCTGTGTATGCTGTTGCAGGAATACTGAGAGAAGTGGTCAAAAGCAAGTAAAATAAACCAAGCAAGTAAGCAAACAAACTGCTGATGGAGTCTGTTTTCAAACTAAGTTTAAACTTGCTCATCCAGCTGTTTGAATATCAGATGTGTCAAGAATGTAAATGCTTTGTTTGAAAGATATATTCTCAGTTCACGGACATCTCTCTTCCTTCAGATCTTGTTTGCATGGGATTTTGCTTTTTGTTCTTGTTTTAATGTATAAATTCAGCATTTTGAAATTGGCAGTTAGTGGGTTGAGGGTTTCACTGAAAGTCAGTCTTCACCAGCAGTATCAGCTGAACAGTCCCATTACAAGCCATGGTCCCAGCAGGCACAGGTGAGACCTGGTGGGCTGTGCTGGCCCTACTGGCATGTACCACTGGGAGACAGCACCAAAATTACTTCTCTCCTAGTGAAGAACACCACAACAGAACCACGTTGCTCCAATTAGAGTTTTTAAGGCTTAAAACGATATTACTTTCTGTTAAAAAGCATTGACTGCCTCACAGCTATAGCTTCTCCTGGTGTGAAGTGGTGCAGCTCTGTGTGCTGAGGAATGAGAGGCTGAACTTTTCTCCCAGTTGGCTTTGTAACCAAATTGGGTCTTCATGCACTCAGTGCTGAGGCACTTACACCTGCTGGAAAATGGGTCCCTGCAGTTATTTCCTCTTGATCAGAAAGTTCCTCATGAAAGTTTTCCTCAGTGCTGGGGAGAAGGAAGGAGAGGCAGTCTGGTGGCATAGTCACTTATTTGATGCATTAACAGACTTGGATTTAAGTATTCCCATTGCTCAGTCCAATTCAGGGAGAAGAATCCATGCCTTCAGTGTCCCTAACTGCTTGAAAAATACCTCATTCTTCTAGATGGGGCATTTTTCTTTGCTCTTCTTCTGTTTTCCTCCATGCTTTTCATTTAAAAAAAGTAAATAGAAAAAAGGGGAGGAAAGTAAGGGAGGGAACTGGTATTTAGGATTGGACTCCTGAACTTGATTTTTTGATTAATTTTTTTTTAAAGCAGTGTCGTGCTTTAACCCCAGTCAGCAGCCAAGAACCATGAAGCTACTCACTCAC